TATTATTTATTATTACACTCAGGCTGTAAGCCGTTATATGAAAATATTTTGGCCATATAATATGATAATTACTAACTTCAGGCATGTGCTCCCTTAAAAAATAATAATAAAAAAAAGATACAGAAATTCAAAAATTTACACAAAATTTCAGTTAATTTTCAGAAGCAAAATAAAATATGCAAGCAAGAAAACTTGTGTGCTATAATTCATGGAAACCCAATGGGCCTTATTCATGAAACATGAACAGAACCAATTTCTGTATAAACTGCACGTAAAACTGTTGCATGAATGGATGCACGAATGATTTACACAGTTCTGCTAGTGTTTCATGAATAAGGCTCAATGTGTTGTGCCAGATTTCATCAACACAGAACATTTCTATCATAACTATAAAGGCCACCCTTTTATTTTTCAGCATTATTTTCCAGCTAACATACCCAAGACTTAAACGTTACTGCCTAGAAAATCAATTCACGATAAATGCAACAAGAGGCAGAACTGCGTGTTGCAAAACAAGGTAAAGCACAGGCCTAGTGTCAATGGATGTTTTGTTTTTCTCTTGTTAGGTCATAGCGTACATGTATGAAAGCAATGGCGATCTTGAGCGCTCAATAAACTCATGCCATCTCCACAAGGATCTGACACTTAAAGTTCTGCAGGCACTTAAGAAAAGAATAAATGGAGAGATGGAAAGAGCAAGAAAAGAAAAGAAAAACACCTCCCACAAGCTGCTGCGTCTGAATGTTTGACGAAGTGCTCTCCCTTTCTCTCGCGCCCGAACCGTTTTACAAAAAAAGCAACAATAAGAAATGTGAGCGAAAAAAAAAGTGTTAGGAGAAGGATTCTAGTCATTTACAAAAATAAGTGGTGCTTTAGAGAAAGGCTGAGCGCACTGGGCTTTTTGTCCACTTGCTCTTTTCCCCTTGGGGCTGGGGCCCTAAGCCGGGTCCGCTCAGGCCTGAATGAAATCTTTGGAAGCTTCTTAAGCTCTGAATGTGGGTTTTGTTCTAGCTATTCCTCCGCTTGGCTGACAGAAAATAGGTAACTGGATTAGGCCTCAAATTCAGAGTAAAGTGAACTCCCAAAAAAACTTTGTATGCCACCCCCACTATTTCGGCCCCCCGGTTCTCATGTCCACCCCTCTTCTTCGGCGTCAGCAGACGTGGGCCGCTGGGGCTGTGATCTGTAAGATCGCAGGGAGATTAGGCAGGCCTGGGGGCTCGCAGCCCAAAGGGGGGCTAAAAAGTAAGAGTGCTAAAGGCAGTTAAGGGCTCCTTAATGGGGGTAAGGAAGTGTATTAATCAACTCAACGCTACCAAAGCCCGAAGCTGCAGGGCCCGGCCGGAGCGACATGCAGGTGGTCTAGTGCTCTACGGGGAGTCAAGGAGGGGAGGAGAGGAGGTTCAGTTGCGTACAATGCCACTATAAAAGATTAAAAACTTTGGGAGAATGGGACTCGCTGTGACCCGCCTCCTACTTTAGGAGCTGAGAGGATGGGTGGAGAGGAGGAGAAAACACACACAAATACACACACACACACACACGCACGCTAATGTACCTGGACATCAGTGCGGTTACAAATTTATAAAAAATGTGTGAAAAAGATTTGAGTAGACTCATATACCAAAATCTGATTGAATGCAAAATATTACGTACTACCAAATAATGTGTGTGCTAAAATGAAGTCATGGAGGACTTGTAAATCGGTGCGTATGATTCCTACATCTTTGTACACGTTTGTCAGAACATGGTATCTTACTGAAAGAACGCCAATGAATATAGATCAGTAATTCATAACAGGAGGTACTTAAGTTTTGTATTTAAGTAAATACGAAAAAAAAACATCTAACAAATAATAATAATAAAAATAATAAATAAATAAATCAAAATTAAGGCTACCTAAAGATTAACATAAGCAATCTAACAAATAAACAACCTTTTTTTCTTTTTGTAATTATTGACCTGACACATTTTAAGTTACTTTTTTAAATAAATAAAAATTGGTTAACCCTTTACAATAAGGTTCCATTTGTTAACATTAGTTAACTACACTACACTTCTAAAGCATTTATTAATCTAATGTTAACTAGTGTCAATAAAAATAGATTAATAAATACTGTAACAAATGTAATGCTTATTGTTAATGCTAATGTTAATGCATCAATTAGCATTAACTAATGCACCCTTATTGGAAAGTGCTACCAAAAAATATTGTAGTGAGTTTGTGTTGTCACTAGGAAACAACATTAATACGTTTTAAAACATACGAAAAAAAAGTGTGGTTAAATTTCTGGATAACTGAATTAAAATGAACCAATGATCTGTTAATTTTTTATAATTATATTATAATATATTATATTAGTTTTTAATATTATATTAGTTTTTTCTGTTGAAAATGTGTGTACTTGCTAATGAAAAACTTGCCAACGCTATGCTAAACGCCTTCCAGAGCATTGCTATGGGGTTGCTAATGTGTTCTGAGTGGTTTTAGGGGTTTGTTTGATTGCTAGCCAATTTCTAAAGAGCCCACCATTGAGTTTTTAATCACACTGTGCCTAGAAAGGTCTTGGGTCTACCTAAGTTTAACATTTAGGGTTAGGAGATTAGAAGAAGGGGGAAAAAAATATTTGCAAGACTAATAGCAATGTTTGCCTTAACAAGCACAACTAATAATGTTTGTAAATGTTACGAAACTATTTCCAATGTTATGAAAGTCTTTCCACAGTATGTTTTTTTATGCAACTATAATCACTTAAGTACCAGTACACATAAACCATTAACAATCATAGAGGATCTTAAAGTATACAACGAAAATTAAATCAGAGTGCTGAATCATTACATTTCAGCCACTGACAATGTGCTGCAGGATATTAGTTATATAAAAACTAAACAAGCCAACGACACACATAAACGAAAGCTTGAAATCATCTCAACAGAGTCTCTTTAATATTTTCCTGTGGTGGTTCAAAACAAAACGGCTTTTCCAATTTGCATGCATTTCCATTTGGCAATTCTCCCTACAGGAATTCACAAGCACACATACAGTATAAGTCAGAGACACACAGTCATCAGCGCACGTCCTTGTGCCACTGCAGCTCGCTCCAGTCTGAAGCTGCATAATGCAGAAGAGTGGAAAGAGTGCAGAATACTGCAAGGCCATCCGGCAGAGCTGGACTAACAATCTCATACCAATAGACTTGCAATGTGCCAAAAGTTCAGGAGGAGAGCGAGAGATGCTAAGTCATCTCATTATATGAATCCCAAACTATCCCAGCTGAAATATTTATTAAGACATTAATATGGCTTCTTCCCTTCCATCTCTTCAGGGTGATGCGGCTCTTCTCGGAGACATACACACAGTCCTTCTCGATCTCATACTCATAAACACACATTGCTGTATGTGCGCATGAAGATGTCAGCAGCGCCAGGCTCTTATAGATATTGACAGTGAGTTTTTTCCATTATACACAGCAGCCTGGAGAGCAACTTCCTTTATTCACCACACCAACACTGATGAAACGCCTCAGAAACGGACGACGTGTTGAAATCTCAGATTCACACTCACTGATGGCTATTTCATAGATTTTTTTTTCTCTTACTGAGCGTGTGTGTGTGTGTTAAAAAACAACTTCATCTGGGCAACACCACAGAATTCTGTCCTCAATGAGAATTTATTAAGGAAGGATAGATGCCAGAGTTAGTTTACGGCGATAAAAAGAGGGTAATTAAGAGAATTTGTTTACAAAAAGAGGGGAAGTGAGAGGTATGAGGGTTTTAAAGCTGACTTGATGCTAATAGTGCAGATAATTATACCTCAGTGTGCTTTGTGTGTGTGTGTGTGAAGTTAGTCTCAGAAGTGTGTTGACAGCTCACACACCGCTTCTGAGTCAACGACGGTAAATGACAGCACAAGAAGTGTGACGATATGTGACGTGGCCGTCAAATGGTGATAAGACAAAGCGCTAACTTTTGGAAGACAAATTGTATGTATTTCCAATTGATGCTTCCTCGTTTCATCCGGTTGCCTCATGGTTTTGCATTAGAAATTATTATTCTTTTTTTTTTTAAGAATGCATTATTTGTGCATGGAGTGCATAATGTATACACAAAAATGTGTGTGTTTGAGAGACTGTGTATTGTATAATCTGTAAATACTGTAATAAATAAAAAAGTTTGACTAACCTAAGCTGTCTGTTGAAGATCCTATTCAATTTCTGTTAGCTTTAAGATCATTTGTATGCTTTGTACTCTTAAAGTCAACATGAAATGAAAATTCATGCTATCTATTTTCTAAATGCATGTTAATGATCTTATTGTGAATGAAACATCTATGCATTTTTAGGACTTCACAATTTTGAATTAAAATATCTTCCTGTGAAAATGACATACTTCTGTCTGTTGACCTATGCCAGAATTTTCCAATAATTTAGTCCACTTAAATCCTAGCCTCCATTTTTGACAGCAACGGACACATCTCAAAATCGACTGTATATAAACATGGATTTAAAAAAAAAAAGCACCTTACTTTTTTTTTTCTTTCAAAAAAACTAAACTACTATTTATGTTTCATCAAGACTTAATTAATATTTAGCAGATATTTGCGTTTAAAATTTACTGTGTTTCTTTACTGGAAAAACAGAGCAAATTTATTGATGACTCATCCAGCATTGCACAGATTTTTGTCCAATCAGATGCTCTCTAGAATTAAAATGTCCCTCCCCCTAATGGTTCATATCTGTGATGTAATTAATGTTAAGAAAGAAAGAAAGAGAAGGGACAAGCTAAGTGCATCAAGGAATAAAAACTGTGCTTATCAAGCTGGGTTTTTACAAACAGAGAAAGCAAGATGAAAAATCTGGATGGTGTCCAAACTCTCCACAGCCTCCTGACCACACATGTGTGGCCCACTCACTCAGCTGCCTAAAACCCCCTCTCACCCTCTATTTCACCCCATATTCTTTTCTCTCTCTCCTACCCATCATCCTCCCTCAGCCACTCACTCGTATCGGGATGTGCTCCATCTCTCTTTCCTTCTGTGGGTTGCGATACTTCTCATAAAAGTCCTTCTTTTTCTTGTTCTCCCGCTCTTCCTTCCTCTCTCTCTTTTCAGCCGGCTCATCAGAGGCATCCGGGGACGGTTTGTTGGCTGGATCCGGAACCTTCTCCACCTCTAGAGAGTTCTCGTTGGGGTTCAGCACAATCACCCCGTAGCCCTCCTGAGAGACAAAACACATACAAATGAATAAACAAATAAACAGGCTCCAATGCTCTTTCTGATTGTACTTGAGTTGCCAAAACAAACCGGCCTTTCATAATAAAGCAAGGTGTCCGGGGAGAGGCATGTATGCCAGCGCTGTGAGTCACGGCATTGTGTGGCGTGCAGTAGAGGAGTGAACTGTTGGGAGAGGGATTAGAGCGGCTCTCGATGCGAACGGAGGTCAGTGTTGCTTTCATGTGTGCTCAAATTCAGCTTCAGCTTCAGTTAGCGCGCTGACATTCAGCGTAAAGAGAAATACTGCTACTGAAGAAATCCAGCTTTCCTAATTTATTGTGGAATATTCAGGCTTACATGATGAGTTCTGCTATATTTTAAACTGTACGTATTATTTTAAGGTGTTTTTTTTTAAGTCAAAATGATCATATTTTAGATGCATGCCTGATTTTAATTCATCAAAAAACAATTACAAATGACTGTAAAATTTAATATAAAAAATATGTAATTTCGCTGTAGTTTTTAATCAAATAAAACCAAAGAAACCAAAAACACAAAGCAAAAAATAATACAATTAAATAAATTAATTCAAACAATACACAACAAAAGCAAAGGAACACATTTAAAGCCTTTAATACTTAATGGCATCAGTGTCTCGGTGGTCTTTTTGGACAGCAATCGGATATGAAACAGTCTGATGCTTATTCTGCTGCCCAGCTCTAAGTAAACGCACAATACACAGCCAAACTCCCGCAGAAGAAAATCAGCAAATCAAAGTGAATTCTGATCCCTGCATATTCTAAAAATATGACCAGTGTTTACAAATCTAACTTCAGTGAAAGTAAGAGGGGGGGAAATGTTACTACATCTAAATTATAATTACTATTTAAAATAAATAAAAAACTTTTAGAAATTAAATACAATTATTTAAAAGTAGAATTATTTCAATGATCTAAAAACTAAAATTGTGCTAAAATATAAATGGCATTTAATCACAAATTATTCATATTAAAAAGGTATCTAATCAACAATTCTGAAGCAATAAAACAAGTTTTCTACATATGACAAATTATTTTTTTTCCACCAACATACAAGCTTCAAACTATTTGCATAGCTGCAGCAACAACGAGACAAAGGTGTAATTTTCAAAACAGCTAATTAAAAATTAAACTTCTGTCAATAGCAAACAATTATAATTATTTCACATGATGGACTGCAAAGCAAGCATTTTCACGTCTAATCAATACAAATAAGCTAACACCAGCATTTTACTAATACAACTAATAAGAACTAAAAACACTAACAAGATTATTATGTGCTCATTTACCGTTTTAAATACATTTTAAAATCAGAATTTCATTTACAGTCAATTTAAAATGCATGCATATTAAACATTTAACACAAAATCAATGAGATCATTAAATTATAAAACTGTAGCAAATTTAATAAATTTTTGTTGAACTGAGTCAGTTTCTGATTAAATAAATGTCATGTTCTTTGAAATCCAGTCAGACAGCCTGTGGTGTGTAAAAGTAGAAGGAGGCGTTTATCAGAGTTAGTCTAAACTGACCAGACGTGGGGTTGAAATTTGTAGTTAGTTGTTCCTGTCTGGCAGGCTGGTGTCATATAAGTGATGTTGGCCAGTATTTACTGTGGTGTTGTGGTTAAACTGTGTGGTGAGAGAGGCTGAGTGGAGCTCGGTGCCACTGCCCACTGGTGGCAGGTTGGATAAATGACCGAGGAAAAGAAACGGTGCTTGATAAAAACCAACAAACTCTCTGTTGGCAAATGTATCTTTTGTTTTGCAATAATAATGTCTTGAAAGCAGGGTTTATGGAATCATTTGCATAAAGGGACTAAACCGAGCTTAGTTTTGAACTTAGGTTCATGCAATACAACTGGGATCATATTTACCAGATCAATAAAACATCTTTACAGCAATATATTGTAATTTCAGCATTCTTCACAGTTATTAGGTAATCTAAATTGTTCATTTACACCAAAGTTGTCAAAAAGTCAAATAATAGTAGTTGACAAGCAAATCAAAGTGCTTAGACAGTTTTTTCACATTTTTCAAAAGTATAAAGCTAATAATGAAAAAAAATCAATTATCTAAAAAGTTTGAATCGAGTGTACATTAATTGCACAATTCAAGCTAAATTTATTTTAAAAAACTGGAAGAGAAAACAAAAAATAAACAAATAATAATGATAAGAAGAAGCAGATGATGATGACCGTTACTATTATTATTATTATTATAAATAAGTGGAATATCTATAGTAATATAACAATGTTTCAATAATTGGAATAGAAAAATAAAATAAAACATTTCATATCAAATAATCAAAAACGATGATACATATATATAAAAAATATTAATACAACATGATAATTTATAGTCTTATGGTTCCATTAATTACTGACAAAAATAAAGCACTCATGACCAGGTTTCTCTGTTTTTATATTCAGCATTCAAACTTCACAATGTTGTGTGCCTTATTATTTGAAAGACTCTAGAGCCTCTCTTTCTCCGTTACGACGCATTTGCCGTATCCCGGACTCTTCCCATGCCCTCCTGCCCTGGCAGGCACCTCCTCGAGGGGCAAGTGGCGACAGGGTCTGGCCCCTGGGCCAGCGGTCAGCGCAGGTCACCGCAGCCCCTCACTGGAGCTCAGACCCCCATAACCCGCCGCTGGACTGCCTCTTTAGTGCTCTTTTGTCTGGCTGTCTCAAACCGGCCGACTTCTTGCACATAACACAACAATGACTTGATCTCTCCGAGCTGTGACTGACACCGCTGTGACATTCTGGAAAATTCTCCGGGTTTTATTTTTGTGTGTGTGCGTGTCAGTGTTGTTTTAATTATATGACAAAACAGCTCACCTTTAAAGAACCCGGTTTAAGATGGGGTGAGGGAACGCATAGAGCTTGAGATTAAAGAAACGAGAGCATTTCTACGCTGCCAAACAAACGCTACAAAAGATCCATCACCATGAAAACCTTCTGCCACAGCGTATTTGCACATTTACTGATACAAACACAAAATCGGACTGTTCGGTTTGATCCGGTTAGATGCGTAATTGATAAGTACAGCAATGATGCCGTGTCCCCCAAATCCCCCCTTCTCAAATAAACTCTATTTTGGCTGAAATGAGATGCCGCTAATAATCCTACACCTCTGATGGACAGCCCAGTGTTTTATCTATTTGTGGCCCTTTGTTTGGCTTTGAAGTGAGTGTGTCTCTCTTTTTTGTCTCTTTTCGGTCTCTGATGAACTAAAGCCTGGATTGCTTTTGGCCCGGCGGTGAGAACAACACTTGACGGATACAAAGCACGCTTGATAGCAGTCAGGAGTGTACGTGTTTGTGCGTGTGTGAGATAAAAACGGCACGTAGTATGTGCTATATGGAGTCAACGTATAACTGGGAACACCAACACGTTTTTATGTCCTACAACGAGAGCATGTTAACGTGGTAAAAATGTGTGCATGTGCGATCAAAGTGGGAGGTGGTGTTAAAAGCGACGGAGAGACACTCCATTACAGCATGGCCTTGGCCTGGTCCCCTGTGTGTGTGCGTCCTGTTCTCTGATTGGTTGCTGACTGTGGAAATGCCCATGGCTGAGGAGTCTAGCCAATCGGAGAGGAAGATGCATCAAGGACGGCGCGTGATGATTGGCGGAGGGAACAGATGATGTGAGGAGGGTCGGCACATATTTACACTCACACAAAAAACTCAAACAGAGATGCGAATTGAAAAAAAAAAAAAGATTTGATTACAAAAACTAAAAAAATTACACCCTTAAGCATATCGAGCAAATGTAATAACAATAATAACATTTGCATAACCCTTACGAAGACAGAAGCGCAGCAACACACGAGACAAACTGACTGACCTCCCTCCCACATACTGCGAGGGAATCGGTGAGCGGCACTAGCGTGGGTCCCTATTACAGTCTTTCATTACAGGTCGGTGTGGTGTGCCCCCTCTAGGTGAATGTAAATCCAGGATACAGTATTATAAACCCGAGCCCTGTGAGGCTGAGATTGAGGCCTGCCTTTCAAGGCCACCTCTACTCTCCGCCCCACAGTTCTGGGTGACCTTGTCTGTCAGCGGCACTACATGGGCTTCTTTTCTACCATGCGAGAGGCCATTATCCTTTTCTGCGAGATACCACACACAAACCTCCTCTCTCTTTTTTTCTCTCCGTGAGATTAAGACCGCTTTCAGTTCCTTCTGCTCCTTTATACAAATATACCCGGTCCTGATTGGATGAGATGACACATGCACACACTCAGCGCTAGAGCTGGGCAGAAAGCTGGTATATACCGTATACTGTCAGCGGGTTGAGATTTTGCTGTACTGTTTATACAGTGGTACATATTTGCACAGCAAAGACAAACTTTACATTATTTGATTACAAAATGTGACGTGCCCCAAACAAGTTGAGCTGAGGAAGAACTTGTATAGGGGTGTTGTATGACTTAACCAAAGAGTTTAGTCATTTACTGTTGCCAACCAATTATGCAACTAGTCATATTAATACAGAAACTGATGTGTAATCACAAGATATGCATATATCGGAAGTTTTACTGTGAACTTTTTTTTCTTTCTAATTTGGGATGCAATGGTATTAAATTTCCGGCCAGTGCAAAAAAGTTGATAATTTTCTTAGAATACATTACACCTGCTGAATACACTGACTAGCTTGTAGTATCTTTGGAATAAAGAGCTTTTAGAATGTTAAAAACCTATGGGAAAAAACAACCCATAAATAAATATATATATATATAAATAAATAAATCAATATTTAACACCGTATACCCACCCCCACAAAAGCAGGATAGTGATCTCACACAGCTCTGGACACATCTATGTGTAGACATTCATCCACATTTGAACAGAGTGGACAGTGAAATCCTGTAAATACAGAGTGATAAGGAAGAAACAAAATAGCAACACAACTGTAGCTGTATAACTTTACAACAGCAACACTGCTTTAACA